GTGCTTAATTGATTGATTGATCGATTGATTGATTGATTGATTGATTGATTGATTGGATGATCGAGTGATCGATTGATTGATTGATTGATTGATTGGATGATCGAGTGATCGATTGACTGGATGATCGAGTGATCGATTGATTGATGGCTTCATTGATCGCTTGATTGATTGTCTGATTGATTGTTTGATTGGAGCTATGTTGTTGATGGGCCCATTGATGATGGGCTTAATGGACACGCGCACTGCACGGCAGAAGGGTCAGAGAGAGGACGAATCTGCTTATCGTATGACACGTGGACATCTTACCGCAGATCATCTGCTTGTGTGAAGCTGATTGTTTGACACGTGTCCACGTAGAGAGCGCCGAATGTGACACGCGCACTGCATGCATGGGACCACTGGAGATGGCGTCCTTCATTCTTGTGGATGTCTGTGTGAGCGAATGCATTAGAGAGGCAGAGGTAGACAGGCAGACAGAGACCTCGAAGTCCATTGAATCTGGACTGTATTTGGAAGGATGTGGCCCTGAGAAGGAGAGTGATGGGAGACACAGGAACTACGGCTCGATAGAGAAGAGAGAGGGACTTCTAGACTTTGTTTCAAGGCAGGATGGGCGGGGGGGGGGCAAGGGAAGGAGGAAGACCGGGCACAGACACAGACACAGAGAGAGAGAGAGAGAGAGAGAGAGAGAGAGAGAGAGAGAGAGAGAGAGAGAGAGAGAGAGAGAGAGAGAGAGAGAGAGAGAGAGAGAGAGATTTCCAGAAGAGTAAAAACATTTAGTCAGTTTTTGGAGCGATATTCTGCCGAATGCCACTTTTCCAGGCGATCTTTCCATTTGTCGTCTTTCATTGGCGTCCCTGTCTCCCCAACTCTCTCCCTCCCTTCCTCCCTCCTTCCCTCCTCCCCTTCCTTCCTCCCTCCTTCCCTCCTCCCTCCTCCCTCCTCCCTCTTTCCCTCCTTCCCTCCTTCCTCCTCCCTCCCTCCCTCTCTTTCCCACCCTCTTCACTCTCCATCTTACAACCTCCGTACTCTGTTTTCTGGCGGCGGCTTGAAAAGGAGCGGGGCACACGCAGGGCAGACTGTGCTGCTAGAGGCTCGTGGACACTTTGAAGGTACCACGT